CTGTCCTGGAAGGCCCTTCCTTCATTGCTCAGGTCTCCTGCTTCTATCAGCTCCCAGCTCATCCATTCTTCTGACTGCTCCTCGGTGGCCCACCACCAGGCATCAGGCTCTAAGGTGTCATCTTTGGAGACCTCCCCAGAGGATCTTGGGCTGGCGGTTCCCAGCTCTGCTCCTCATCCAGCCAGTCCCTGACAACATAGGACTAGCAATACAAAGCCTCTGAACACACAGACACCCTGGATACGAACGCTTCTGGTTGCACACGGGTTACGAACTGCGCTAACCCAGAAGTAGTTGCTCCCAGATGTGAACTTTGCTCCAGGATGCGAGTAGAAATCGCGCACCAGAGGCGCATGCGCAGCGGGAGGTGCGCTTTTGCTAATGGTGCCTCATGTTAAGAACAGTTTCGGGATAAGAACGGACCTCCGGAACAAATTAAGTTTGTAACCAGAGGTACCACTGTACTTAATTTTGTTGGGCTCATACGAGGCCCAGCCAGCCTACAATGGAATTTGATATTCTGGAATACATAGTGTTAAGTTCAGGTTCCTTCATGTTAAACTCTGCAAATCTCTCCGTTTTGTACAACTATAATAAATTTGCAAGTTGGTTACCTAATTGCACAGTCCGGCTACTTCTTTTGTCTCCACATCTATTGCACGGCAGCCCCGGGGTTTATTATTCTGAAGCTGACCATTTTACTCCCCCAGTTGCCACATTAACTGAGCTTTGTGGCATTTGCTTTACTCAGTGGACTGCTGCAGCCTCTTTCTGGCACAGCTATTTTTAACGTTTTGCACACACAAAAAGAGGTTAATTTACAAGGCAATGCATTTTTATTATCTCCAGCATGCTCCCCTCCCCTCCCCATTTTTTTTAACTTGCTGCATACATTAAATTAATTACCCTTCAGTAACACAAAATTGAATCTCCTGCTATCCAAAGTTATGATCTCATTTGGACAGAGCATTGTTTGTATGCTGAGGAGGAGATGAGCACTCAGTGAAACCCAAGAAATGTTTTTTTTCCCCCATTTCATCTGTATTCTACTCATGTGCCTCCAGTTGCTTGTTATACATCACAAGGAGGCCACAAATTATGGCTGTCTTAGTAGCCAGTCATCACTTGTGGTCATCACTGACCCTTGTTCTTCCGCGTCATGCTTTCTAGCAAGTGCACAGTGCTGCAATTTGGTAATTTTAGACTCTAGTATTAAGGAACAAGATCTTTAGGCCAGGGATAGCTAGCCTCTGCCTTCCAGATGTTGTTGGGATTAGGGATGCATATATTGGGGCAAATTGCTTCTAAAAATGCACAAATGCACAGTGAAAATACCCTACAGACTGCATTATATTTGGGGAAATTGCTTTCCCCAAATGCGCACATTAGGCAAAATTGCATACAAACATGTGTATTATATGATCAAATTTGCACTTCAGATGCTGATGAATCTTCCAAGGGACTTTTTTTATATATAATTCACAAACTGTTGTGGAAATATGGGGAATTGAACTAAAGATTGGGGGGGGGGAATGAGTAACTGAGAGAAATCCCTGCTATAATGCATTTTTGTGTTGTGTTTTTCACGAATATATGCAATTTACACTAATAGGTGCATTTTTGTACATTTTACATGGCTGATGAGCTGCATTGCAAAATTCAGAAAAGTGTGAGATTTTTAATGATGCTTGCCATTAAATGCAAATAGAATCACATTTCTCCCCAACCAATGGTATGACTAGGTATAAGGCAACTTTGTACAGTGGTACCTCGGGTTACAAACTTAATCCATTCCGGAGGTCCATTCTTAACCCAAAACCGTTCTTAACCTGAGGGGCCTCCTGCTGCTGCCGTGCCACCACCGCGTGATTTGCATTCTCATCCTGGGGCAAAGTTCGCAACCCGAGGTACTACTTCCGGGTTAACAGAGTTTGTAACCTGAAGTGTTTGTAACTCAAAGCCTTTGTAACCCAAGATACCACTATATGCTCCTGTTATTCATGGCCAGTCTATGCCTTTTTGCCATCCAAGATGAAAAGTTAAGCCACTTCTGCCCCCTTTTCCTCTCACAGGAGAAGAAATAGGTAATATTGTGGCATCTAGTAGGCACCCTGAGTGAAGGTTCCCTTGGGTGGCTGCCCCAGGAGGGCACCATTTTGGAGTCACTTCTTGCACACCACGGCCTTCAACCCACAACCAGCTTTTTAAAAACCAAAGTGAAATCTTCCAACCAGGAGAATTCATCAGTTGAGGAAGTGGCTACCCCAAGGTCACCAACGTTTTAAAGTCCATGGACTTAAGTCCCTGCATCAATACCCAGCCACTCTGGAAGAAAAAGGAAGGAAGGAAGGAAGGAAGGAAGGAAGGAAAAGAAAAAATTGTGGAAAGAAAAAGGGGACCTCTGAGGGGAGATTGCGCTGAAAACAATTGACCAATAATTATAGGAAGAAAAAATATCCTCTTGCATGTTAACACATATATTGATTTGTTAAATACAATAGAAAGTTCTATACCAGTGACTGTGACGATAAGATAAATGGTTAAGATTGGAATATGACATTGGTAAGGTCCGTATAGTTAAAGAAGGTCCGTATAGTGAAAGCTATGGTTTTCCCAGTAGTAATGTATGGAAGTGAGAGCTGGACCATAAAGAAGGCTGATCACCGAAGAATTGATGCTTTGGAATTATGGTGCTGGAGGAGACTCTTGAGAGTCCCATGGACTGCAAGAAGATCAAACCTATCCATTCTTAACGAAATCAGCCCTGAGTGCTTACTGGAAGGACAGATCCTGAAGCTGAGGCTCCAATACTTGGACCACCTCATGGGAAGAGAAGACTCCCTGGAAAAGACCCTGATGTTGGGAAAGATGGAGGGCACAAGGAGAAGGGGATGACAGAGGACGAGCTGGTTGGATAGTGTTCTCGAAGCTACCAGCATGAGTTTGGCCAAACTGCGGGAGGCAGTGGAAGACAGGAGTGCCTGGCGTGCTCTGGTCTATGGGGTCACAGAGAGTCAGACACGACTAAACGACTAAACAACAACAACATGACATTGGGAGTAATCTAGAGGGGGGGAAAGTGGGAACAAGAAATAAAAAATCCTTCTCCTGACCAGCCAGAACATGGCGGTACCTATTTATCTACTTGCACTTTGACATGTTTTCGAACTGCTAGGTTGGCAGGAGCTGGGACCGAGCAACGGGAGCTCACCCCATCGTGGGATTCGAACCGCTAACCTTCTGATCGGCAAGCCCTAGGCTCTGTGCTTTAGACCACAGCGCCACCTGCGTCCCTAGGAATTCAAGTCCACAAAAAAAGGAGGCAGCTTTGGTGGACTGTCATTAATATAAGCAAGTATTTCATTTCTTGAGCCTGCCTTTTTATTTTACTTCTTCAGATATTTTTTATACCGCTCCCCACAACAGTCTTGCGGCAGTGTACACAATTTTAAAATAGGATGCATTAATAAATGTGCAATGCAATAAAATCAAGGCAGCTGAAGAAAAGGAGTTAAATAAATCAATTATTGGAACTAAACCCCAGCAAACACCTGGGTACGTATATAAATAAGTTTTAAGGAGGAACAAGAATGTTATCAAGTATGGGTGGAGGAGAAGTTCGATTCAGTATGAAATCAGTGTGCATATTCATATGCAAGAAACTGATATTTCAATGGGGCAGCACCAGCACACTGAAACCTTCTCTATACTCTTTTCGGCACCTGCTAAAAATATTTTTGTTTAGACAAGGCTACCCAGACATGTAGAACATGGATGTGTTAATCCATTTATAGTTTATTTTATCTTCTAAATGTTTTAAAAAGTTGTTGTTATAGTCTTTAGTGATAATTTTTACTGATAATTCTTTGAGGGGGGTTTTGGGGTTTGTTTATTTTTACAATGAAGTGGTGTTTACATTTTATGAAATAAATAAGTATGTTTCTGAATGACAGTTGCTGGGAAGCAGCAGCAGTGGGTGACGGTTATTGCTTTTGCATCCCGTTAACAGTGCTAGTTCAGGACGCGGGTGTCGCTGTGGGTTAAACCACAGAGCCTAGGACTTGCCGATCAGAAGGTCGGTGGTTCGAATCCCCGTGACGGGGTGAGCTCCCGTTGCTCGGTCCCTGCTCCTGCCCACCTAGCAGTTCGAAAGCACGTAAAAGTGCAAGTAGATAAATAGGTATCGCTCCGGCGGGAAGGTAAATGGCGTTTCCGTGTGCTGCTCTGGTTTGCCAGAAGCAGCTTACGTATGGGGACTTCTGGGTTGGCGCCTCCGGCAATGGCGGAGCTCCTCCGTTCGGGAGGAACTTGCTCCGTGAAAAACAGGGTCTGACCGCCACGGCGAAGGTGGAGACCCATTGAAATCACAAGCGGGAGAAGCTTGTGAACCTGGGATTCGGCTGGCACCTTTTGCGCCTCCCCTACTCGCGGGGAAACCCTGTTTTGGGGATCCGGAGCAACGTGGGGTGAGTGGCGCGGTGCTTTGAATCAATTGCTTCTTTCACGGAGTGAAGCCTCATTGCTGTTGCCGGAGAGCGCTGACTTTTTCCTGTGGACAATTGGATTTTAAACAACTACTCGTGAGTAAAACGGAAAATTGGATTCTTAAATACTTTAATTCGGCACTGAAATGGGAAGGTTATAAACAGGAAGTCCGCCTCCCGTTTTTGTAAATAGACTGAAGCAAAGACGTTACAAGTTAAAGCCTTTGAAAGCTTTTGGCAAAGGATTAAATTTCCACCGGTTTAAAATACAAAACCCCCCTTGGAAGCAGGAGAAGAGGGGAAATTTTGGATCTAGTGAGCCTGCAGGAGAGAGTGAAAAATCAAATTACCACTGCTCTGAACCTGGGAACGGGCTGCCAGATGTCGTTTGGAGAGAGTGCATTTGACAGAACAGATTTGACAGCTAGCTAAATAAGAGTAAGATACTGTTTCCATTGTCCTTTTCTGCGTTTAAAAAAGAGGAAAAGTAACTGAAAATTTATCTTTAATGCTTGAGTTGTGCCTGAAAGAACTGATACAAATGGAGACTGTTTCCCTCTAGAGGGAGCTTTTGAAACTGTTACAGGAGTGTAACTGGGGGATTTCCAGCTGCAGATAAGGATTCTGAGAACCAGAGAGTGACCTTGGACTATTTAAAAATGTTGACAGGAGAGGCCATTGTGACTGTTTTATGTAAGATAAGCTGTTCGCTGGGACAGCTTCACAAGAAAATGGATGACATGACTTTCAAAGTTGATAATTTGGAACAGAAAGTGACCATTTTGAGTCAAAAAGGGAACACCAACACAGAAATAATTCAGGACTTGGTACAGGAACCCATTTTGGCAGGACAAATGGTGGAGGAGAAGGAGGAGAAGGAGAATGCTGCTGTTGTTGAACATAAAATAATACAAGTGAGATCTGTGGCTTTACAGAAGCAAATTGAGGACTATAAGTTGAGGCCTTCTATGATTGAATCTAGGAAAAGTCAGACTCTGAGGAATGGATCCCGGCTTGGATTAAAGAAGGAAAGTTGGAAAGAGCCCTCTATGCAGGGATTAACTGACTTTTGGGACATGGACTCGGGCCTGGAGGAGATTGAAGTTTTGGGGGCCTTTGGACTTGGAGGAATCTTGAAATATGCCCTGAAATACTTTATGGACTGTAGCTTTAACTATGGAAATTTAGCTAATCTATTCAGAAGGAAGAAAAAGATTGACAGGTTGGAGTTTCCCCGAGATTTGCTCTTTAGCATTAAAGAAAATGAAGAAGACCTGCAGAAGGGACTTGGAAAAGAGTTAAGAGCCTCGGACATAAGATCACCAGGTTGATGGACTTTATGGAGTTGACGGAAAGGACTGGCAGAATCCGAAACCTGGGAGAGGAGATGGTGGAAGAAGATTGGAAAATTTAAAGTTTATATATAGACTTATGGTTAAACTAATGAGTGATAGAAAAATGGTGGAATGATTCTTTATGGGCTTAACAGAAATGTTATAAGGAGTTAAGCATATATAAGTATTTTAGTTTTAATGGAAAATAAGGTTAAAAAATACGTTATTTACAATATCACAGAAAATGGAGAAAGATGGAAAGGATTTGCTGAAACAATTAATAGAAGTGGAATACAAAAAGGGAGGTGAGAGGAGGTCGAGGAAACAAGGGAATGAAAGATAGAGTATGGAAAAGAGATGATGTATGTTTTTAAATTGTTTTTGTTTTGTTTCATTTAGGGTTAAGGTTAGGGAGTGGGGTTTGTTTAGTTTAGTTTAATGTGTTTAGTTTTGAGTTTAGGTTGTGTTTTGTATTGTTTATATATTGTATTGTTTTTTTCTTTTTGCTTTTCTCCTTTGTTTTTTTTCTGTTTTTTCTTTCTTGTTTTTTTCCCCTCTTTTTGTAATCTATAAAAGTAATAAATATTATTTTTAAAAAAAAACAGAAGCAGCTTACTTATGCTGGCCACATGACCCAGAAGCTGTACGCCAGCTCCCTTGGCCAAAAAGCGAGATGAGTGCTGCAACCCCAGAGTCGGCCACGACTGGACCTAATGGTCAGGGGTCCCTTTACCTTTACCTTTACCCAGACATGTAGAATGTGGATGTGTTAATCCATTTATAGTTTATTTTATCTTTTAAATGTTTTAAAAAGTTATTGTTATAGTCTTTACTGATAATTTTTACTGAGGGGTTTACTGAGGGGTTTACTGAGGGGTTTTGTTTATTTTTACAGTGAAGTGGTGTATACATTTTATGAAAAAAATAAGTATATTTCTGAATGACAGTTGCTGGGAAGCAGCAGCAATGGGTGATGGTTATTGCTTTTGCATCCCGTTAACAGTGCTAGTTCAACAGATTGAGGGGTTGAGTGGGCATATGTGGTGTTAGGTGATCCCAAGTTGTTAATGACTTATATACTAACAAATAAAGGTAAAGGTAAAGGTACCCCTGCCCGTACGGGCCAGTCTTGACAGACTCTAGGGTTGTGCGCTCATCTCACTCTAGAGGCCGGGAGCCAGCGCTGTCCGCAGACACTTCCGGGTCACGTGGCCAGCGTGACAAGCTGCATCTGGCGAGCCAGCGCAGCACACGGAACGCCGTTTACCTTCCCGCTGGTAAGTGGTCCCTATTTATCTACTTGCACCCAGGGGTGCTTTTGAACTGCTAGGTTGGCAGGCGCTGGGACCGAACGACGGGAGCGCACCCCGCCGCCGGGATTCGAACCGCCGACCTTTCGATCGGCAAGTCCTAGGCGCTGAGGCTTTTACCCACAGCGCCACCCGCGTGAATCATAAAAAGGTAAAGGTAAAGGGACCCCTTACCATTAGGTCCAGTCGTGACCGACTCTGGAGTTGCAGTGCTCATCTCGCTTTATTGGCCGAGGGAGCCGACGTACAGCTTCTGGGTCATGTGGCCAGCATGACTAAGCCACTTCTGGCGAACCAGAGCAGCGCACGGAAACGCTGTTTACCTTCCCGCCAGAGCGGTACCTATTTATCTACTTGCACTGGCGTGCTTTCGAACTGCTAGGTAGGCAGGAGCTGGGACCGAGCAACGGGAGCTCACCCCGTCACAGGGATTCAAACCGCCGACCTTCTGATCGACAAGCCCTAGGCTCTGTGGTTTAACCCACAGCGCGATCCGCGTCCGTATATATGTGGTGTTAGGCGATCCCAAGTTGTTAATGACTTATATACTAATATATATATAGACTCATAGAATTGGAGAGTTGGAAGGGACCACAAAGCCCCATTCAGTCCCACCTCCTGCAATGGAGGAATTATTTTGCCTAACATGGGGCTTGAACTCACAACCCTGAGATTAAGAATCTCATGCTCTACCAACTGAACTATCCCGGGGATACACACACACACACATACAAACGGAGTATATAGTCTTCCCACACCCCCATTTTATCCTCTCTGAAGTATATAAAAGCTGGGAACCAGTAACTGGCTTTAGGTCACCCAGTGAGCTTCATGGCTTGAGAGGAGACTTGAACCCTGTTCTCCCAGGTCCTGCTCCAGCACTCTAACCACTGCACCACACTGTGGCTTAAGCACTTTAGCACAGCACATGCATGTCCAAAGGGCGAATCGCATGTCCTCTTCTACAAAGCCTGAGCAAATGCCAGGAGGCATCGTTATATTACACCAGGAAACAGACGGCTTACCGTCATTTGAACTCAATGCACACTGCATGATCGTGACCATCTGGGGCCCAAACAGTCCCGGGAATCTAACAGTTCATCTGGGATCGCCAGCTGCAAACCACATGCAGAGAAAGAAATAGAAAAACCCTCTCCGAAACACTGAAGTGTATTTCTGTCCTAGGCTGTTAAAAAGCTATTTTTAGAGAAACTTTTAAGAACAGAACGTAAAGAGAAAGGGAGATCGGGGGGTGGGGGGTGGGGGGGAGCTTCCATTCAGTTTTTAAATTATCTTCTAGAAGTGTTAGCGTTCTTTAAAGAGGAAGGATCTTTTCAGACCCAAAGTGAAGTAGCACTGCAACACAGAGTGTGAATTTGGAAAACACGCCTCTGTGGTCGTGCTTAAAATGTTAAGCTTTAGCAAACTGCTACTCATTCCAGTAGCTCCTGGGGCAGAATTAGGTCGCTATCATTTCCATTTTGCAGAGGGGAGACTATGTCTGGAGGGGGTAGCACAGAAGTGGTGAAATCTTTTCAGACTGAGGGCCACGTTCTCCTCTGGGCAACCTTTCAGGGGCCACATGGCAGTGGTGGGCAGGGCCAGGGGAAAGAGGGCGGAGCAATGCATGCAAATTACCTTTGTACAGTACACTGGACGCTCAGGTTGCGAACGTGATCCATGCGGGAGGCACGTTCGCAACCCGCAGCATTCACACACGCGGGTCGCGCTTCGGCACTTCTGCGCATGCACAAAGTGTGATTTTAGCGCTTCTGCGCATGCGCGAGCTCTGAAACCCGGAAGCAACCTGTTGCGGTGCTTCCGGGGCGTCTGTAACCCGAGGTATGACTGTAATCTAGTTGCTCTCTGTCCTCCCTCCACTCCATCAAGAGGCATTATCAGAGTCCAAAGTCGCACTCCAGCCAGGCAAAAATATTTTGGGTGTGAAGCTGGCCTAGTGAGGGTGGGAGGAGCCTGGGAAGAGGGAGGTGGCCCTTTGGGGAGAGTCCAAGGGCCAGGTAGGGATGGCCTGGAGGAGCACAGTTAGTCCCCAGCCCTGAGGTTCCCCCATCCCAGGGTGGGGATGAAGGGGACGTTTCATTCAGAAAACCTGCCTAATAAACGCATTGCGGAACAATACACAAACCAAAGCACAGCTATCCTTTTGAGATCTGTGCTGCTTCAAATATTGTAGTGCAATTCCCAAGCCAAGGGATGTGTAAAAAAAAATGCATATAGTCAGTGCTATGCATAACCCTAAACATTTTGTGAATCTAAGTTTGGCCTCATTAAGGGTCCTGGTTTAAAAGGAAAGTGTTTGCCTGGTGCCTGAGGGCATATAATGATGGCGCCAAGCAAGTCTCCCTGGGGAGAGCGTTCCACAGATGGGAAGCCACTGCAGAAAAGGCCCATTTGTGTATTACTAGATGTTTTAAGAAATATATACAGGACTAATAGAAAAGAATAGGAAATTTGTGTATTACTGACCGAGGCATGCAGTGAGGTCAGCTACAAAACCATCTTTCGCACTGATGTATTCTAAGCCGAAACAATTTGCATTCATCCCAACACACACCAAAGGTTACTTGTGAGAGCATCTCTGTGCTACTAAGCCGTACGAATCCCTGGAAATCAAGTATTTAATGATTTTTCTTTTACATCTAAAGTTGGGCTACATACAAACAGTAAGGCAAGTCGGGTGAAAGAAGGAGTTCAACCCCAAGCGATCAGCCTCTGCGTCTGAGGAGTCGATGGTTCCAATGCACATCTGATCTCAGCTTGATGGTGCCACAAACTAGAATGCTTATATGCAGCTCAGGTTCTGCCGTGACTTGTTTCAGCTTAAGACCAGCCTGGAATGTGCACAGATTTAACAATCGTGAAAAGTCAGCTTATGCAATCATCAGAATTCAAGTGGCAAAGCTCTTCCTCAATTCCAACCTGCAGGTGAGAGACAGGATATTGGAATGTTTCCCATTTACAAAAACCTTTCTGCTCACAGACAACCAGCTCATCAGAAAAAAAGGGATAGGCTTTGTCCCCAGATAATATTTCCCCCCACAAAGAGGGAAGGGTCATTCCAATCTATTCTACCCCCCACCTGCTAGTTGAAGTAGTGCAGTCCAACCAAAGCTTTACCGCTTGAATTCTGGTGAGGCATTCAATTGGCTCCAGGTCAATAGAAAAAGAGTTTTCTCCCTGTCTCATAACCCAAGAATTCCTGGACATCCAATGCAGCTGAATATTGGACAATTCAGGAGAGACTCTATTGTCTCTTGAGACAGGTGGGTGCCAACCCAAAAAGTGGTGCCTGGGAACAGGGGCAACATCACCTTAGATAGTGGGCAGTGGATTCCTCAGGGTTTCATGCAGGACCAAGTCTGGGGTAGATATGGGTGTCTCTGTCAATTTCACTTTCTTTTGGTTTCTCATTTTTCAACTTCTAAGTTCCACTTTGCTACATTTCCACATGGGTGTGGGCTACTTGTTTGAAAGTCCTTGCGTAAAATTAATCAACACTTGAGTGTAAATGTCTCCTAATATGCACATTTTTGCAAAGCAACTTCAACCTCAATATAATGCACCTGTGTGTGTTGCTCCCCTTCATGGATCACTGCCTTGCCGTGGCGAAGGGGCTTGAATAACTCAGAGAAGCTATGAACTATGCCGAGCAGGGCACCCAAGATAGACAGGTCATAGTGGAGAGTTTTGACCAAACGTGATCCACCTGGAGGAGGAACCAGCAGGTCCTGAAGCTGAGGCTCCAATACTTTGGCCAACTCATGAGAAGAGAAGACTCCCTGGAAAAGACCCTGATGTTGGGAAAGATGGAGCGCACAAGGAGAAGGGGGCGACAGAGGACGAGATGGTTGGACAGTGTTCTCGAAACTACCAGCATGAGTTTGACCAAACTGCGGGAGGCGGTAGAAGACAGAAGTGCCTGGCATGCTCTGGTCCATGGGGTCACGAAGAGTCGGACATGACTAAACAACTAAACAACAAGTGTGTGTTGCTTTCAGTAACATAGGCATTCATCTGCCTAGTGTATGCATTTTTTTACACATTACTTGGCTAGAGAAATGCACTGCAAAATTCAGAGAAGTGCACATTTTCAAGGGCAGCTGTGTTTCAGTCTGCATATTGTTTAGGAAAATGCAAATTGGGTCAGTTCAACTTGGAATGTGATCTGGGTTGAATCTCTCCCTCACCCCTAGTCCACAGTGAACTTCCAGATTGTCCAGCTCTCCTTTAAAAAAACAAACAAACAAGAAACACAAAAAAAACCCACAGAAGCAGACAAGTCAAGCAGTTCCACCCCCAGAACTTCCTTGTTAAAAAACCTGTTTTCAGCTCCACAACCAGAGCAGAAATAGTGCATTAACAAGGCAACCAAAGCAGGCATGTCTTTTATGTACTTGCCTATGAAGCTTACCTCTTTTGTCACCCAGTCTTTGAAGGAAGGTTCTGCAAAACCTTCATGCAAATGTGCTCCAGGAACTTTAATATAAAGACACCTGATGGACAGGCAACCCCCTCCTTCTCATCACCTTGGTTCGTCCAGAGTTGCAGGGGGGCAGGCGGCACAAATCAAACAAGCTGTAGCAGGTGGTGCTTTGATCACATTAGCCAGACATTCAAAGAAGGAGGCTTTCCACTACATTAGCTTCTACACGTTTCCATGGCTGCTGGAGCACTTCCAATGAGAATTCCAGGTCAGAGCTTCATCATTCTGTCGCCCAGGTCCAGATATGATGAATCTCCAAGTATGGGAAGACATTGAATATGGAACGGAGGACCCTGGTTGGCTTTTTGATGAAGCACAGACACTATCTACACCAGAGGTAGCCCATGTGGTGCCCTTCAGATCTTCCTGGACTGCAACACCCATCAACCCTTGCCAACATGGTCAGCATGACCAGTGGTCAGGGATGATGGAATTGTTTTCCAACCTTGTCTGAAGGGCATCACATTGCCTCCCTATGATCTGCTACAATTGGCCATGCATCACAATAATAGGATTAATGGCATAGCTGTCAACTTTTCCCTTTTCTTGCGAGGAATCCTATTCGGAATAAGGGAATTTCCCTTTAAAAAGGGGAAACGTTGACAGCTATGGTTAATGGTGAGGTTACCACCCAGGGTCCAGTGTGAAGAACATGCTTAACTCTTGTATGATGATGATGATATATTTATATGCCACACATCTGACTGGGTTACCCCGGGCATGCTGAGCAGCTTCCAACAAATGAAAACCCAGTAAGACATCAAACATTAAAAACTTCCCAATACAGGGCTGCCTTCAGATGTCTACAAAAGGACATCTAATTACTCATCTCTTTGATATTTGATGAGAAGGTGTTCCACAGGGCAGGAGTGGCTACCAAGAAGGCCCTCTGCCTGGTTCCCTGTAACCTCACTTCTCGCAATGAGGGAAACACCAGAAGGCCCTCATTTTCAGTACTGGCCCCAACTTGGTGGAACGCTCTGACACAAGAGACTAGGGCCTTCCGGGACTTGACATCTTTCCGCAGGGCCTGGAAGACAGAGCTGTTCCGCCTGGCCTTTGGTTTGGACTCAGTCTGACCCTTATGTTTCCCTCCCCTTATAGTCTTGATTTATCGGCTACTTTCAAAATGAGGCTGCATTTTAAATTGTATTTTAACCTGTATTTTAAATTTTTGTTTCCCATCCGCCATTATGTTTTTAC